GAAATTTGGAATAGATGATCAGGACAGGAAGTTTTATACAGTGATGTCTAGGTCAAAAGGCAAAATTAAACTGCTGAAGCATACTTTAAAATGCAGTGTGGTTCAATCAGCAGCATAGGCACTATTATTACAGCTGACTTGGAATCCATTTCGATATGGGGAATGAAAGGAGGGAGGGAGGTCAGAAGATCATGCTATTTGAAGACTGAAAAAAATAGTGAGAATGCAAGTTTTATAAGAATGGAAATACGGTATTCTGTTTTATAACTCAGTGTGATAAAATTCTTACCCTTTTTAATGATAATTATTTAAACCAAAATTTCCATAGCCTGCAAATATCCAAAGAAAGACTCATTCTAGTGTTTGATGGATATGAATGACAGAGAATTGGGGAGAAAAGGAGCAATATGCCTGTGCTCTAGCTGTCTACCTTTCCTGTCTTTTCTATGAAAGATTGAGTGGGAGGTGACACACCTAGAAGAAAACCAAATCCAGTTTGAAAAAACATTAGGGTACTAAGGAGTTTTACTGAAATATACCTACTATCTAAGGAAACTTCCTAAACTTATTGAAATCTTTTGATCTCCACAGAGTCCTCAAAAGTGATGGCTACTCCTCCAATACGCACTTCCAATCTCCAAATTCTACACTTTTCTTGTACCATCATTCTATGCTGGTGTTTTTCTTCCTACTCCAGAGCAATCTCTGTATTGTGTGAGTCAAGATAAGTCTTCCTAGACTTTTTTTTCCCGATCCCCGTTATTGCTTCTAACAATCAAAGGTACAAATAACAATCCTCAATATTGGATGATAACAGTACTAGTGATTGGTATTAGGGGAACAGAAAGACAGATATGCACTTATATTCTTTTTTCCCTCAATATATAGTAAAAACTTCCTAGCCTAAAATTTCTAACTCTCAATGCTTATCAAAAGGGACCAAATTATTATAAGTGTCTTCTTTTCCTATATGATTAAAATGACAAAATATTTCATGTTTCTCATATTTAATATACTACAACACATTTCTTTACACATGATAAATGCTGAAAAAATGTGCACTGAAATGAATTTCACTATGACACAAAAACCCTAAAACTGGGCATAAAATTTGTATTGACGTTAAAATGTATCTAAATGAACTTTCTATGGTATACCAACAGGTTAAATACATTATAAGCTGTAAAATGTGATACAAATGGCATGTATTATTATGATTTTATGCCCTCTCTCATAACATGCAAATCAAATTTTCTATGTTATGTATGATTGTTACTAGTAACGGATTTGATGATACAAGAACAGTTGGAGATACTTTTCCAAAAAATAATGTTGAGGCCAAAATAAACAAATATAAAACGTAAATAAAGTACATGATAAACAAATAGAACATAAAAGCACATTGTTTCCTGCTGGAATAAATAAAATATTAGGGAACTGTGTCGTGTTTATAAAGCCAACCTAATACATTTAGTGATCAATAAAGCCACTAACCTATGGGTCTCAGAAGTGGCCTTATCCAGGAAGAAAATAAAAAGTCCTGGAGCACCCAGGTCCAACAGCTACTGCAGTGTAAGTGTATCCTCAACCCACTGTTTCTTGTTGTTGCCACAGGCAAGTGGTGTGCTGGAACCCACTGCTGCCTGCTCACAAGATTTGATGGATACATCTTGTTAGATATCTTGTGAACCAATTGTTAGAAAGAATTATTTGCAAAAATTAACTTATATAACTTACAATTAAATGCATTATTTTAAAATCAATGGTAACAAATAATTACAACTCATCATTTTTAATTATTTTGCTGTACTTTGCTATTACCTCTTCTTTTGAGCTGATTCATGCCTATTGTATCTGCATGGTAGCAATACTGTAGAATTCCGTGGTACCATACGTCTCATCCAATTCCATATTCAGGAATGTCTTGTCAGACATGGTGGGAGTATTTTATGAAAATCAGAAAATTCTGTAAGTCATAGATTTTGTCTCCCCAAAGAGATTATTGTTAAGCATGTACTAGCACAGCACTAACTGTAAGTCACATTTCTATCAGATATTGCACAGGACATGGTGATAGTCATCAGTGCAGAATAAATTATGCCTGCCCTGATACCAGAAATTGTTATTACTTAAGGTCACAGTTAGGAAAATGTTATCATTGAATAGGCTAGTCAATAACAAAAGGGGATAGCAATTTCAAAATTCCTCTTCATGATCCATGAGAGCTTTTGATCCCTGCCACAGCACTGAACTAACATCAAATTCTAGCCCTTAGATATTTCACATGTAGGTTTCTGCTGTATAGAAATCGGATCATTGAGTGCTTTAGCTTGTACAGGCAGAACATGTGGACTTCCAAAACTAATTGCAGAGCTCAAGTCTTAAGCAAGGAGGTGAGCATCTCGACAGTTTGGTAATGATCTTGATGTTTCTCAAGTTGATTTAACTGCCACAAAATTACAACTGACTTTTAATTTTATCACCAATGTAGCTTGTGACATTTTTCATAAGTCCACACTAGTTGAATATCTTTCTTTTTCTCCTTATCTTTTTTTTTCTTGAAAGGCAAAGTGAGAAATGCCTTGCAAGCTTTTTTAAACAAAATCAAAGGATGGATGTGGTGGCTCTTGCCTGTAATCCCAGCACTTTGGGAAAGAGAGGCAGGTGGATCTTTTGAGCCTAGGTGTTCAAGATCAGCCCAGGCAACTTGGCAAAACCCATCTCTATAAAGAATACACAAATTAGCCAGGTGTGGTGGCATGCACCTCTACTCCAAGCTACAAGGGAGGCTGAGGAGGGAGGACTGCATCTGTCTCAGGAAGTCAAGGCTGCAGTAAGCCGGGACTGTGTCATGTTGCACTCCAACCTCAGCAACAGAGAGAGAGAGAGAGAACCTGACTCAAAAAATGAAAAAAATAAAAATAAAAACATTTAAGTCTCACTTACAGAGAGTCATCCTCTAAAACTGTTCCATTTATGGTATCTTCTGACAATTAAAACATGAAATTATATTAGTTTGTGAGTGATTTGGGAATCTGTCAAATATATAAATTTATTCAAATTCAGATACACTTTATCATTATTCTTACCTTAGACCAGTGTTTCTCAATCTTTTTAACATAATCACCACCCTAAAGAGAAAAAAATTACATAGAAAGTCTTCTTACTGAGATAAACAAAATACTAAGGAATAAGATTTTCTCAACTAAGTTTGAGTTTGGAGGGATACAGACCATTGTAATATCTAAATATTATTTTTGCCCCTTCAATAAGAATGAAGTTTTATTTTGTTGATGACAATATCCTCCTTTTGAGAATGCATACCTTTCTCTAGCAGTGCTATTTTGGGCTCAACATGTGTTTAATTCTTCAAATTCACCTCCAACATCAACTGTCTTCCCTAGTTTTAAAGCTATTTCTCTTATTAGTAAAAGCTGATTATTCAGAGATATTATATATATTTACTGAAGTAGCTGTAAGGTTATTGTCTTGTGAGGTTTATTGCCGAGTTTAAAATGAGGAAACTGAGGCCTGCATGAGAACAATTAGACACCAATTTACTCGGCTCCCGGGCAAGGTTCTGTGGTCCCAGGGAAAGAGGCCAGAGAAGTCACACCCAACTTCTCTCAGGCATGGGATTTTATAGGGAGGGAAGGCATTCCAGTTGGCTGTGGAGAAACAGGACGTGGATGTGGCAAGCTGCTATAGGTAGGTAGGCAGGATTTCCAGACTGGGCAATGTGCTATTGGGCAGGTTTTTGCAGGGTTTTCCAAGGGCGGGCTAGGTGCCGAGTGCAGAGGGGATTTCCAAGGGTGGGGTTGAGTGCCGAGTGCAGAGGGGATTTCCAAAGTGGAGCTAGATGCTGGGTGTATTCTGGTGATGTAATTTTCAGGCAGGGAGAGGGATGGGCATGTCCAAGCTCCCGGCTAGGCAACCGGCCTTACAGTATCTTCCTTTAGTTCTTAGACTACAAGGTGGATATCTAGGGATACTGTATTAACTGTTAGGCAGTTTTGAGCAGCAGTCTCCAGTAAGATAGTCACTAGACAGACATGGCAATATACATGCAAATTGATTTAACTGAAAGTAAAATTTCAGTCCCACCAGCAACATTCTAGTCTCAATAGCTATCTATGTCTGCCTATCATATTGGAAAGCACAGCTTTCCAATTTCGTCATTGCAAAAAGTTCTATTGGACAGTGCTATTCTAGTGCCTCCGTATTCAAAGTGCATTCCGTGGTCTGGCAGTGTCAATATCATGTGGAAATTTATTAGCAAAGTAGACAAGTAGACGTCACCCCAAACTTACTGAATCATGATCAGCACTTTTCACACAATATCTAGGATTGCATATGTAGTTACATCAGTGCTATAAAGAGGTCATTTTTGAGTCTGTCTTTAAATATTAACTTCCTTGCAGATGCATAATGTTAAAATATGTCTAATTTTTGAGCTGTAAACTCCTAGAGATCAGGAATCTATTTCAGATTTTCTTTTCATTCAATGCCAGAACCACAATTAAGTCCTCATAAGTTTATTTTAATAGCAATAATTATTCTACATTGATAATTTTTCAAGTTGTATAAATAAGTTAATCATTTGCTATAACTGTTTGAACATAAGCTTCTTTTAAACTCTGAAAACATGCTTATCTTGTTGGGATTCTCAGAAAAAAGGAATACAGCAAAAGAAAACCACAAGCAAAATCCTGCTCATCAGGAGGGAGCACATTTTTAAATCATAAAAATATTTTTTCCAACATGAAGCAGTCAACACCTTGCAAAGTTCTGCTAAATGAGGAGAACTACATATCCACACACGTAACAAATGTAGTGGAGTTTTCTAATAAAGAAAAGATAATAAATAATGTGTATCCACATCGTGTATATCAATTTAAAGATATTTAATATATTTTACAATCATTAAAATAATACAGTTCCCAAAGTTGCAAAGCCCCTCACTGTAGAAGCCTTTGAAACTGAGAAAAATCTTGCTTCACATATATTGTATAGTATCTCATGACTTATTTCATTAATAGTAAATTGCGTTTGTGACAATGAAATGTATTAACATGTCAAATATCAGAGTTAACACTGCGAATCTTCTTAGGTAGACTATTTGACTATAATTATGTTCTACATATTTTTTCTTGAAGGTAACCATTTCTTCACAAAATGACAAGATTCTGGGATAAGAGGTTTCTGTAAAGATGTATAGGGTTTAGTTCAGGCTCTGAAGATAATTAGAAAGTTTCACAAATGGGCTGGTTCTAAATTCCAACCCTTGAGATAAACCAGGGATCCAAATAAAATAAGATAATCTGGCTCAAGCTTTATAAAATCATGCCAAAATTCTATCTTTAACTATTTTTTAAAATGTACTTTGTGGTGGCCAAACAGAAAATAATCACATTATTTTAAGAGGAAGGCTATCATCAATGTCTTCCTCTGAAGTGAGATTAATTTTTTTCCTTTCTGCTTTTGCTTTTTCAGTTCAAATCTATTTAGTGAAGAAGTCATTCAAAGTGAAGTAAAAATTTTCAAACTTCCAAGTTCATAGACCGTCATAAAGATTTTTCCCCTCACTCATCCTCATCAGAGATCTTTCCCCTCTTGCCATATTTGACATTACTTTTCAAAGCTGAAAGGCAGGATGTTAAAAAATATATATATGTCACAAGAACTCAGACTTTTCAATTGGTCCCCAAGTGGTCTGCTGCACTAACATTTTACTAGGAATGTGTTACTTTATCTGAAATCATGTCATCTCCAAATACTAATTTTTAAGTTGCAAAGTCCTGGAGTAATTTTTATAAACATTCAAATATATGAATCCTTTTATCAGATTATTTACCTCCAGCTGTGCTGGGTTGTGTGCGCTTTGAGGAATGTCACTGGGTGTAAAAGGGAAAGGATAGTGCTGGAGCTTAGAGCACTACCTATGGATGACAGGTTTATTCAGGGCGCTAAGAAAACAATCTGAGGCCGGATGCGGTGGCTCACATCTGTAATCCCAGCACTTTGGGAGGCCAAGGCTGGCAGATCATGAAGTCAGGGGTTTGAGATCAGCCTGGCCAACATAGTGAAACCCAGTCTCTACTAAAAATACAAAAAAAAAAAAAGTTAGCTGGGCTTGGTAGCACTGGCCTGTAGTCCCAGCTATTTGGGAGGCTGAGGCAGGAGTATCACTTCTAAAAATACAAAACAAACAAACAAACAAACAAAAATCACTTCTAAATACAAAAAAAAAAAAAAAATTAGCTGGGCTTGGTAGCACTGGCCTGTAGTCCTAGCTACTCAGGAGCAGAGGCAGGAGAATTGCTTGAACTCAGGAGGTGGAGGTTACAGTGAGCTGAGGCCGTGCCATTGCCTTCTAGTCCAGGCGCAAGACTCTGTCTCTAAAGGAAAAAAAAAAAAAAAGAAAACAGTCTGAGTTTCCTGAAGCTCCAAGATGTCCTAGGTGGAAAGCAAAGTAATAAAGAAAGAAGGTAAAAGAACAGACTCAAATTTTATCTATGTCCTATTTTGCCCAGGACTATTATATTGGGAGACTATTAGTCGTAGAAGAGCTTTCTAATTCAATCACAAAAACTATATTTAAAGTCTGAAGCTTAGTGAATTTTAAGGACTAATTAATTAATACAAAAGTCATACCAAGCAAAGTACCCAAAGCAACACAGACTTTCCATATATGAATAAAGATGATTTAAATAAACATGCCATTTTTATCCATGTTTTTAATATTTATGAGGACGTAATTTTTTGCCTGAAATATCTGTTAATAATTTTTTATTTTTAAAAACATTTTCCCTTGTCACAGATGTTGAAAATAATTTTTTTCAACACCACTTAATTATCAAAGAGTTTGTGGTGGACTACATATTTTTAATTTTGTTAGTTATCTTGTATAATTAAATAAGTAAATCATTTGCCACAATTGCCTATTTGCTGGTTCAGGAAAACACTTTTTCTAAAATCATAGAATAATTGCATAAAGAATAATGTAGCTGAATAAACATATGAAAATCCAAACTGAGAGTGATGTGACTTCTGAGTGAAAATAAAATTGTTCATAAAATAAGTTATTAATAATATAGCATTTGTAGGAATCACAAGAATTTACATGGATAAAAATTAACTACAAAAAAGACTAACAAGACTATACAGGAAAATTCCTGTAAAACCTTATATTTAAAAAAATTGAAGTATTTTTCTGTATCTTTGTGATATAATGCATTGATGTGGTAAAAACTATCTTTTGTAAAAAGTTAATAGCAACAGTTTTTAAAAACAAGTATTTTTACAAGTATTTCCAGAGTAATATCATGTTCATTTGAAAACTAATAGAAAATTATAAGCATTTATTTTATGCTCAATTCACTCTAGTTATTACATCCTCCTAGGAATCCTTCTAAAATAGATGTAGTATAGGAAGTACATTAAATCATTTCTAATTAGCACAGTACTCATATGCTTATATCAGCATTTTTTAAAGGTCCTATATGTCTAGACAACTAAAACTTGGCTCGCTAACTTTACATTTCTTGGATTCCAAAACTATATCCTAGGGAACAAATAACATTTTAATTTCCACATTTTCTCACAACTCTACAAATACCTGTCTTAGTCGCACAATGTAGTGATCCAGTGGATTGTATAAATCCACTTTTAAATTTGAAAGGTAAGATCTAAACAAATCTTGGAAAACAGAAATAATTTAAATAGGATTATTTATATGTTTCATAGATACTAGTAAAATACAATGTTCATTTTATACATATTTTATATAAATATTTTCAACAATATTTTACTCAAAACTACATGTACTTTATTAATTAACTGTTCAAGGATTTTCAAGGATAATTTGATTGGAACCTATTTTTGTTTTGTGCAGTGACTTTAGAATCTACTTTTGGTAGAAAATATGTTATTTTTCATGACTGATTATTTTTAGAGAACTTTATTCCAGAGAAGGTAGACATTTAGAAATTAAGTCTACCATTTTTTTCTCCCCTTCTCTCAAGTGGTAGAGAAGTCTGAAGTTAATAGTACAATAATCTGAATAACAAAGAGAAACAAAATGTCAAGGCGTCCTCTTGATTTGGGTATTCTGTTGGAGATAAAATGCTTTTAAATATGGAGATTTAATATAGGAAATCTGTCAACTAGTTGTTGGAGGGTTTGGGAGCAAAGGGAAGCACTGAAGCAAACCACATGAAGTAAGAGCAGTAAGTAGCTCTCACCACCAGTGCCGGGAAAGAAAGGGAAGGGATTAGAGTAACCAGAACCCAACAGCAGACCTCTGAGTATTGGGCACGGTCTGGCTGCAGTTGATATCTCTGAGCAGGAAAAGGCTGAATGCTGAAACCAACTGCCACTGCTGGGGTGCTGCTGACAGACACCTCAAACAAACAGGAATAAAGAATTCCCTCCCCCGATCCTCCAATCTCCTAATCTCCCTCTATTTCCTCCTATTGGTGGAACTTAACGTGATACCACTGGTGAAGAAGTCCTCGAACTGTAATTTGCAGAGTTGTGGTTCCAGCTTTACAGAGCACACTATATAAAAGGATAGATTGGGAGTTGAATGACAAAGATAAAAAACAGCACTATGAAAAAGCAGTCATTGACAAGGCTTATTATATTATTCGATTATACATATCAAAATTCATTTGGGTCTCATTACAAATGGTATTTGCAACAAACTATTCAATACTAATGAAATATATAATTGCTATAAAGCTACATCTCATTGGTGCTTGAGTTCATAGACTTAAAACCTCTATACATTATTCATATTTAACTACATTTGTGAAAAGTTCTTGAAATGAAAAGTTGAGGAGATGATGTTGTGTAGAAGAAAGAACTTAAGATTTTGCATCTGAATAACTGGTTTCAATTGATTTCTGATTACTAACTAATAGATTTTGGATGAATCTCTTAAAAATTGCCTGAACCTCATATTCCTCATTGTGGTGCTTTATTTGATGATTTCTAGTGTCATTTCAAGATCCACCAGGGATTAGAAGGTATTTGATTCAATGAATTATGGAACAATCCAATACATTTTGTTATCAATATTTTCTGAAAGGGTGCTATGGTATAGAATTTACATTCATGACCTTAACATAAAATAATGATGCTATAAAGAACATAAAGAAATGATTTGATTAACCTATTTGCTTCCATGCACATAGCTGCCTTGGTATACAAAACTAAAATAGGCCAGGTGCAGTGGCTCAGTCCTGTAATCCCAGCTTTTTGGAAGGATGAAACAGAAAGATCCCTTAAGAACAGGAGTTCGAGACCATCCTGGGCAAAATAGTGGGACTCCATCTGTAGAAAAATAAATAAATTATTTAAATTAAATTATAAGAAAAATTTATCTGCAGTGTTAGCACTTTGTTGAAAGAAGTGCTCAATTGTAAAAGAACTGTGTCTTTGTTTTGAATGACACTGCTGCATTACTGCAGTTCAATTTGTCCCAAATCAGAAGACAATTGTGAATTATTGTTTTAATCGTGCTTTTCTTTGTAAATGTTATCATTTGGAAGGGAAAATACAAAATACTATAGTTATTTGAAAACTCAATAAATTGAAACTACTGAATAATCAATCTAGCATATACAGATGTTGAGATGTGGAAGAATTTAACATTTAGAAATCTTGCCATTATTCTGACATACAAAAATTAGAATGAAGGTGACATTAGCAAAATACTAGTTTTTGAAACAGGATTAAAATTTAGAAAAGGAATACATAAATAGAAAAGACTGACTAGGCAAACATGAAAATGAAAATCCTGGAGTGTTGATGCTGACCTGAAGCCACTAGGATTCTGGAATTTATTAAAAAGGAATAATTCATAAAGCATTTGGAAGTAATCTCTCTGCTATATTAAGCATTCATGAGCTATTTATTAGGATATTGTGGCTACTTTCGGTCACTATGCTTTTTAAATGATGTAGACAAACTGGAAAAAATCAGGGAAGAATGAGAAAAATGAATAAGGGTTAGAAAATAGTGAACTGAGGCAAGGTTTAAAGAATTGTGTTGTTTATAACAGAGAAGAAAAGCCCACGAGGCAGTCTGATTGTTATTAAATATCTGAAGTAGTTTCATAAGATATATAACTAATTAGTATTTTTTCTCCACAGTAGTTTACCTAGAACAAAAGGAAGTTTAAATAAATAACATATGGGTATGTGCATGTGTGTGTGTATATATATATACATATGTATGTATATACACATGCATACCATAAATTAAACTTGTTTTTGTTTTTTCTTTTCTTTGTCCCAATGATGGAAGTGCTAGAACCTTATTTCAGTAATTCTTAGGAGGATAAATCTCCCTCGAGATCTGAAAATAGATCCCTCACTTTTTCTGAACACAAGTTCCTTGGTGTAGGAAAGGGGTAATATACAAGTGTCTTCTAGGTTTTAGATGGTATAGGCCCAGGACATTTAGCCAAACAACCTTTAGGATGGTAGGTGGGTGACTTGGACAGGAGGGGTACTTAGGGCTCTTTGAGTTTTTAGAGTTATAAAGGGAATTTTTAAAGAGAAGTTAAACTTCTAGGCATCCAAATACTACTGCAGAGCTACAAAGACAGTTCTGAAAATTTTAAAACAGTATTCCCAGAGACTGAGCGATGGCTGAATATGGCTGAGAGAGATGAGTGCAGGTAGCTGGATTATGTGAATCCCAGCAGCTGAGATCCTTGTTTCATTTTCATTCTGAGACTAGAATCCTTTGGAGATTCGTGGATTCAATCACCTAGCTGACTGTGAAGGACCAGTTGTCAACAGGGACACCATGTGGTAGGGAGAAGCAATGGCAGTAGAGAATAGTGAGAAATGAAGCTGTCCCATTTGAGTAGGGAGAGGTGAGAACACAGAAAGAATTGAGCTTTCCTTCTAACAGACATTTGAGACTGTAATAGAGGTATGATTGAATGTGCAACCAAAGTTATGAGTCGCTTTGCAGAAGAACAGCTATTTTAAGAAAATATTCTTTAAAAATAAAAGAAATAATAAAAATGTGTTAAGTAAAGATAAGTGGAAACATTTAATTATTTACAAATATCATTTGCTCCTGAAAGTTGTTCCTGATATGTCTAAATGAGATAAAATCATACCATTTTTAACTTTCATGACACCATGAACTTTTGCTTAGAATTCGTCAAAATTGAAATTTTGTTTATGACTGTTTTGTTGACAGTTCTGCCCCATGTCCCCAGAATATACATTTCACAAGTGCAGGTAGGTGCTTACATCTCACCTTTGTATCTTCAACATAGTCTCACTTTAGATTCATAGGATCACCATGTATCATTGATATAGTTTGGCTATGTCCCCACCCAAATCTCATCAACAATTGTAAACCAAATTGCAATCCCCACGTGTTGAGGGAGGGACCTGGTGGGAGGTGATTGGATCATGGGGGTGGTTTCCCCTATGCTCTCCTCATGACAGTGAGTGAGTTCTCACGAGATGTGATGGTTTTATAAATGGCAGTTTCCCTGCTGTCTCTTTCCTGCTGCCATGTAAGACGTGCCTTCCTTCTCCATTCATCTTAAGCCATGATTGTAAGTTTCCTGAGGCCTCTTCAAACCGTGCAGAACTGTGAGTCAATTAAACTTTTGTGTGTAATTACCCAGTTTCAGGTATTCTTTGTAGTGTGAGAATGGACTAATACAATCATCGACCTCTATCATGATACATAACATACATTCAACACTTGGTACATAACACACACTCGTTTAATTTAGGGATTAAATGTTATTCTTTAATAGTCTAAAAGTTAAAGTTGAACACATTATTTAAAAACTTTCTCACAATGATAAAAATCCTAGACCCACATAGTATCATTGATGCATCTTTTCAAACATATAAAGAAGAAATGAAAATAAGAAATAACACAAATCAGACACCAATTCTTTTAGGAGGTTGAAAAAGAGTGAATGGTCTCTCATTCTTTTTATGAGGTAGCACCCAAATCTTAACTACAAAACCAGACAAAGAAATTATAAGAAAGGTAAATTACAGACCAATCATGAGCATAGATGCAAGCATCCTTAACAAAATATGAGCATTTAAAATTCAGCATTTGTTTACATACATAAAACACCAGATAGAATTTTTCCCATATTTAAAGTTAGTTTAGCATTGAAAAATCAATCAGTATAATTTACCACACTAAAGAAGAAAGAAAGGGGAGAAAAAATGCATGATTATTTCTATGTATTTAGAAAATTATTTGACAAAATTTAACATTTATCTATGATAAAACTCCAAAAACACTAGGAATAGGGAAAATATATTAACCTATACATAACTTATAAGAATATCTATTTAAAAATCCTAGTACAGAAATCTTATACAATACGGAAATATTGAAAAATCATCTCTTGAAATTAGGAAATAGATAAAGATGTTCACTATTAACATTGCATTCAATATTGTACTGCAAATCTAGCCAGTAAAATAAGGCAAGAAAAAAAGAGACGATCAGAAAAAAAGAAATAAAACTATCATTATTCACAGGCCTAATAATCATGTACCTAGGAAATGAAAGGACCTTACAAACAATCAGAAGTGATAAGTGAATCTAGCAAAGTTATTGGGTATGTGTTCATTTCACAAACATTTCACTCCAGTAACAAAAGTACAACAAAAAAGTGAAATGAAAACAATGATGTAATTACGTTAGCATCAACAAATCTCAAATATCAAGGAATAAATATATCAAATATGTTCAAAATCTTTTACTAGAAGTTAAAATTCTTACTAAGTTTAAAGAAGACTAAAAAAATGGAGGGATGATTCACGATTATTGGAAGGTTTTATATTGAAAAGCATAGTATTAAGATGTCAATTTCCTCCAGAGAATGTGTAGATTCAATGAAATCATAACCAAAATCTAAGAAGGTTTTTTAACTAATCAAAATTGATAAACTTATCAGAGAAGACCAATATTGCTAATGCAATATTAAAGAAGGAACACAATGTTAGACCCTATCAAATATCAAGACCTATTATAAAGATATAGTAACTAAAACAATTTGCTACTTGTGCGGGAATAGACAAGCTGAGCAATGGAACAGCATAACCATCCCAGAACTGTCCTTCACCTACTGTCATCTGATAGTGGTGGATGCTCTGAGCTATGAGCAGCCCCATCCCCCTAATACGTGAAAGACTTATTCTCTTAGATGCTGGAAATACTATCGGAAGATGATTCTAAACTGTCAGCACTCTATGGGAATTGTCTACTGAAGAAAACTGGCTAGCTCAAGAGTACACTTACTTTCAGGCTTAGCTTGCATCCAACATGGTGATGTAAAGACCCAGGCCACTCTTCTCCACTCAGAACAACTTCAGAAGGTCATCCCAGCTCCATATCTCTCCCTGGAATCCACAGAAGCTTTTATTGAGACAGCATTTTGGTTCAACACCTTTCTCTGAAATCCCATTTCTTTTATAACTCTTCTACAGTTGTGAAATCCCAACAGCAATTCTTAAATGTCTGACAATCTAATCTTCTCAGAGTCTGATTCACAAGGAAACCAAATTGCAGCAGTTTAGTGCCAAGGAGTGTTCAAACAAGCAGATGCTAAAATGTGATTTCAGATCTAGATCATGGGCTGCCTGGCTGGAGGATGACAGTGGATTACTGCAAGTCAAGCAAGTAGTAGTCCCAGTTGCAGCTGCTGGGCCAGATGTGCTTATCTTTGCTAAAGTTGCGTAACAGGTACATGGTTTATGGCCATTGCGTTGATAAATGTGTTCTGTTCTTTTCTTATCAGAAAAGAGGATCACAAATTCTTTTCATTTCTTTGGAATAGACATGTATAGTTTTGTCCCAAGACTATGGTAATTCTTTTGCACTGTTATAGTATAAGATGATCTATACTCTCTGATATCCCGTACATCATACAGATCCACTATATTGATGCCATTATCTTGATTGGACTGGATAAGCAAGAAGTGGCTAGTGAATTGGAGACCTTGATAAGAGAGCCATGTGTTACAAACAGCGGTAAATAAACTCACGATGATTTGGGGATCAATCACATCAGTGAAACTTTTAGGGATCGAGTGATCCTCTACTCTCCACATCAAAAGATAAATTATTGCATTCTGTATTTACCACTACAAAGAAGGAAGGACAATACTAGGTAGGTCCATTTGTGTTAAGAAAGCACCATGTGCCACATCTAGAAATACTGCTCTGACTTTTATACCAGGTAACACAGGAGTCTTTCACCATTGCATAGGACCCAAGCAGAAAGAGCTCTGTAGCAGATCCTATAATGTCCAAAAAAAAAAACAAAAAACAAACAAAAAAACTATAATATTCTTCCATAGAACCTATGTTGTTTAATGTATCAGTAGTGAAATATGCTGCGATGAGTTTATGGAAAATCCCAGTGAGAAAACTGTAACACAGACTCTTAGGGCTCTGTAGCAAGGTCCTGTCATCTTCCGCGAATAACTACATGCCTTTTCAAAAGCAGCATTTGGTGTATTACTGTGCTCTACTAAAAATAGAGTACTTATTCAAGTGACCATGGGACCAGAACTGCTCATTATAAGCTGAGTTCTATCAGTTCTAACATGTAATGATGTCAAATGACCCTAGCAACAATCCATTGTGAGAGGGAGCGGTGCATCTGGGGAGTGAGCATGAGCAGGAATTAAAGGCACAGGCTAGTTGCCCAAGGATGCAGCTCAGATCCTCACGCCATCCACCACTGCTGCACAGCGTGTCTCTCTCAGCTCACACCTATGGCCAAATGGGAGGAGAAAAAGGCAAGCTTGACTCCAGTGTGGGACAGCCTGGTATGTGAGGGACAATCTTTCTAATGGAAAGAGCTTTTGACAAGTACCTGGTAATAAACATTGCGTAACAAGAGAAATGGCTCTAAAGGAGAAATATATGGATTCATGGTCAGTGGCAAATGGATTGTCTCCCTGTTGGGAGCTGGGAGAGGTAAAATGGAAAGATTTGGGATAAGGAATTCATGAGCAGGAGCATTTGGATGGATATGTGAGAGTGGGTACAATATGTGAAAATCTCTGTGTTACATGTTAATGGCCACCAAAGAACATCTGTTAAGAAAGAGTCACTAATCAAGCTAGACAAAAATCACTCAGCCAGTTGCCGTCGGCTAGCCTCTGTACCAGCCAACCCAACGCTGACACTTGGATATATGATGAAATAGTCCTAGTGGCAGAGGTAGGGAAAATGCATGAGCCCCAGAGCATGGGCTGCCACTTACCAAGGCCAAACTGTCGCTCCTACTACTAAACGTCTAGTCTCCCAGAACAGAAACCAGCCGTTATTAATTCCTTCTCATGCTGCTCTAAAGAAATACCTGAGACTGGGTAATGTACAAAGAAAAGAGGTTTAATTGGCTCATAATTCCACAGGCTATACAATGTGCACAGCAGCATTTGCTTTTGGGGAAGCTTCAGGGAGTTTCTACTCATGGCAGAAGGCAAAGCAGGAGCAAGGATCTTACATGGCAGGAGCAGGACTAAGAGATAGAGTGCGGAGGTGCCCCACAATTTCGAAGCAACAAGATCTCATGATAACTCACTCACTCTCACAAGAACAGCACTGAGAGAATAATGCTAAACCATTGTTAAGAACCTGCCCCCATGGTCCAATCACCTCCCACTGGCACCACCTCCAACACTGGAAATTACAATTCAATATGATATTTGGGCGGGACACACATTCAACCATATCACCAACACTCATCCCCCTATATTATGTTTCATTGAAGAGATCTATCAGTCACTGGGTAGAAAGTTGACTACACAGGGCCCCTTTCACACTAGACAGGTTAGTGACTAATCTTTACAGAAAAAGATTTTCCTTAGTTGCTAACTTGAAATATAAAATTAACAATCACATCCCTCAACCGACAAGTTTATTTAAGATATCACTTTATATACCCTTGGCCTCTGATTTTTATCTGTAATACATCAGGTGTTATAAATATATATATATATGTATATATATATATACATATATGTATATATATGTATATACACACATATATATTTGTGTGTGTGTGTGTATTTGTACAAATATATAAATAAACTTGACAGGGAAGGGAATTCTCAGAATTTTGTGGGTTGCTAGACTGCCACCATACAAATTTACCACATCTCCTCCCCAAGGGAGACAACAAAATTTCATCAAGTTCAAAATGCAGGGATGTCTGGGTCATGTGCTGTCTCTCCATGAAGTCCAGATGTGGCTCCTTGTGATCTAGTTACCCATGAACTTAAAAAACAAGTTATCTGCTCATCCCTATCCTGCCCCTGCCTCACACAAAATAATGTAATATATTGGAGTAGAATATCATAATAAACACTCCCACTTTAATAGAAAAATTAGAAAACACATAGTAAATGCCAGTTTTTAGCAATGCTGAAATTCTAGCGGGCTGCATTTCCAGATCTGTCTTTTCTGACATCGAGAGAACTTCCTTGATGAATCACTGATTCTGCTTGCCGGGACATAATTTCTTGTTCATGTACTTTGTGGTTCCTGGCTGGGCTTTCTTGAAAGTTATTCCTTGTCCCTTACTCTCCATGGCCTCTTCTAAATTGAGAATTGAGGAGTACACTCTTCCTGGTAGCAGGATCACCTCCACAACACACTTCACTTGTTCTGCCTCTGCAAATTTGGGGGCCCAAGGGTTGTTTGTTGTAGTTGTTGTTCAACAGTTAGATTCTAATTTACATAAATTTTATTTTGATGCCAATGTGAAAAATGATCTAACTTTTTTCCCCCAAATATAGAGTTGATTATTTCAAGGTGATTTATTAATGAGTTCATCTTTTCCATGCTAATTTGAAATGCCAATCTTATCATAAATTAAACTCCCATATATACATGAAACTATTTCCAGACCCTTATCCTGTTTCATTGATCTTTTGTGTCTATACTGGAGTGACTTCAGCTAGAGGAATAGAGTATTTCCTGACCCAGAAAAATTCGTGATGTCTGGATTCATTTTTCGTTGTTAAAATTGAGGCATGGGATCCTACAGTCATTTAGTTGGTGGAGGTAAGGAATATTGTTAACATCCAAAATACACAGGACAGCCTTCCACCACAAGAGATTGTGGTGGAAGACATCTGGTCTCAAATGTCCACTGTGCTGAGGTTGAAAAATACTTGTATAATGGTTTCAAAAATATGACTTATTATTTTATGCATACTCTTATGGTATTCTTTTCCAGGTATTCTAATAATAAATTTGAGTTTCACAAATAAATCTTGTTTGGGTGCATTTCAGGATTTTATTGAATTTATAGATCAATTTGGAAAATGTTAACTTCCCTATAATATTGAAAATTCCATGGCTTTATAGATTAATTTGGAAAGTGTTAACATGTTCATAATATCAATAATTTCCATTTAGGATTATAATATGACTCTGTATTTACTTCAGTCTTTCTTTACATTCTTAGTTTTCTTATTTACATTAGGTTTTATTCCTTTTTTAAAAATAATTTTTCTTGTTGCTCTTATAAATAGATTTTTTTAAAGTTATATTTTCTAATTTTATCTGCACCAAAAACTTTCTGTCCTTTTAAATATGATACCTATTTTAAATTTCTATGGAAAATACAACATTCTCATGTATTATATTCACTGTAATTATTATCTGTTACTGTCGATTTAAAAAAAAAACAACAACAACCTGCTAGTATCTTGAAGTGTTCTTTCAACATTCTGGACCATGCTTCTTTTCATGAGTTCTAAATGAATTAATAAAGAAAACAAAGGAAAGAAGGTGGAGGTCAAAATAATCTATTTTTACTGCAAATGTCTAAGCTACAGGATGCAGCTTGGTGTGAGACCCAAATGGGCTTGCTAACTGAATTCCAGAACTGGGCAAACAACTCATCCAGTCACAAGCACCGATCGACTGTCTGCAGTTTACTCCCAACAACTATGACTTTTGCCCATGTGTCACTTTTTACATCACATGTGAGTTTCTGTCATTGGTAGATGCTAAGCCACAACCACCCTGCTAAATAGATCCTGGAAAATGTTATTTCAGGATTCTCTTCTGAATGCAGAGGAGATCTTAGAAAAGCTTGGCAAGAATCAAAGTTGACATTAGGTACAGGTGGGTAACTTAGTGTTCTCAGACCAATTCCATCCTACCACCTGTAATTTTGGAATATAGTCATATCCATGAATTGCCCCTGGCTGGTTTCATGCTGCAATGTGGGAGATGAGTATTTGCCACAGAGACAGTACAGCTGACAAAGTCTCAAATATTCGTTATCTAATCATTTACAGAAAAATGTTTCTCAACCTTTGCAGTAGAAAATATAGTAATACTTTTCGATATATTCTATGAGTGTGGATGTTTT